GATAGATAGATAGATAGATAGATAGATAGATAGATAGATAGATAGATGGATGATAGATAGACAGATAGAAGACATAGTAATATATCAGCAAGGCGGTTTCCAGGTTCAGCAGACACACACACATCTGTGGACGGGGGCTGGAGAGATGGCTCAGAGGTTAAGAACACTGCTTGTTCTTCCAAAGGTTCTGAGTTGAATCCCCAAATTCCCAGCAACCGCATGGTGGCTCATAACCATCTACAGTGAGAGCTGGTCTGGTTCTCAAGCACACATACAGGCAGAATACTACAAATAATAAATAAAATGCCGATTTCTGTGAGTTCCAGGGCAGCCTAGTCTACAAAGGGAGTCCAGGACAGCCAAGGCCACATAGAGAAATCCTGTCTTGAAAAACCAAACCGAAACAAATCCTCTGGAGGAGTGCAAAATAGATCCTTGGACAGAGGAGAGATTAGAGTCAAACTCAGGACTTCAGAAAAGAGCAGTGTGTGTGATCAACCACTGGGCCATCTCGCCAGCTCTGGGACTCTGTTCAGGTTTTTGTTGTTCTTTTTGTGTATTTTTGTTTATTTGTTTTATTCAGTTTTTTGTTTTAGACAAGGAAGGTCTCTGAGTGGAGGCTTGCCTGTGGACTTTATTCTTAAAGTAAATAGTGCAGAAGTATAGAGTAAAACCTTTCCAGACCCCAGAGATAATTGGTTATTTATATTCCTTTCCTCATCCTGAAAGTCTTTCCATATAAATCCAGACATATTTAACTAATTATCTAAATGGCTTTCCCTTAACCAAGACCTACCACATAGCTTGTTCAAACTTTTTTGCTTTCTTACCTGTAGACAGGACAAGCAAGATACTGAAGGCTTATCAAATTAAACTTGTTTATTTCTTTATTTACACACGATCTCCCATACCGAAGGCTAGTCTTGAACTCAGGATGCACTCCATGACCTTAGACTGCTGGGATCACAGCCATTCACCGTAAGATGTTCTGTGTGGCACTGGGGATTGAACCTGGCTTTGTGTGCCCTAGATAAGCACTCTACAAATGAGCTACAAGCCCAGACCCTAAAACCCGGTTCTCATCCAGTTTCCTCTTTTCCTATCTCCCTACAGAGCCCAGAAAAAGCAATTATTTGTTTTCCTAACTACACAGTTAAGAGCAGCCATGTGAGACAATTTTAATGACATGAAATCAGGATTCTAAGGCATCTACGAAGGTTTTGATTATAAGAGAGGCTGAACCTGCCCTTTGGCCCTGACTTCCAGATGCAAACAGGATATGGTCTCTACAGATATGACAGCCCTCTTTCCTCAAGAGGACTAAGTTAGCCATAATGTCATCAAGTGGCTACTTGCCAGTCACCAACATTGAACCCTAGCAATATTTTTCATTTATGCCCATGGTTTGCCTCCAGATTGCCAGTTCTATGGTAACTAGAAAATATAAACTTTTTTCCCTTATATTCATCAGCTGTTTATGAGTTCTTCTGTAAATTGCCTGGTTGTTTATTATTTGTCCATTTTCAGATTTAATCATTTTTTTCTTATTAATGTAAAGAATATTTTTATATATTCCAGCTATTTTCTTTTTGTTTCTTTTTCTTTTTTCCTTTTGGTTTATGTTATTTTTAGGCACTGGAGCCATGGCTCAATAGTTAACAGCACTTGCTGCTTTGTAAAACCGTTGAGCCATCAGGGTTCAATTCCCAGCACCAATATGGTTGCTCACAATCCTTTGTCAGTCCAGACAAACATCTGGAACACCAGTTCCAGAGGATCTAATGCCCTCTTCTGGCCTTTGTGGTGCATACGCATGCTGGCAAAACATTTATTTGCATAAAATTAAAATTAAAAATAATAGCTATAGTAATTCTTTAAACATATTTATTTTAATTATGTGTGTGTGTGTGTGTGTGTGTGTGTGTGTGTGTGTGTGTGTGTGTACAAGTAAGTGCAGGTGCCCAAGGAGCTGAGAAGAGGGCATTGTAGCTGTGAGCCACCCAA